GGTCCTTAATTCCTAGCTGATGCTTCCAACTGACTCCAGGCCCTGTGGGAGACGTTTGCCTCCCTTCATCTAGAGATCATCTAGAGACAAGGGCAGCAGAGAATTAGTCATTTCTGTAAGTGCCTGTAGTTCCCAGATGGCAAATTTGCAGAGCACGGTGTCTATACTGGATGATTTCTGCAACCTTTCAGGAGGATTAGGGGCTCCGTATTTTAAACAACAAACAGTTGTAATCTCTGCTGGGAAGAAGCACGTCAGGCTAAAGCTGAGCAAGCATTAAACCTGATTTTGAACTTCATCTGTTTCATTAAGATCTGAGACCGCAGGGGCAATTAGTTTCAGGTTCAGGCCCGACCTTTCCTTTCCTTGTCCTCTGAGGACAAGCCAGTCAGCGAAGCCGAAAGCGATGCTTTTCTTAAGGAGGAATACCACCTGCATAAATGTCTGGTGATGTGCAAGCAGTATGTCGAGTTGGAGGAGTGCCTGAGAGCTTTTCTTGGGATCTCTACATCCAGATGATCTGTAAGGGGTATTTTTGTTTCACTCTTCCTCGGGTCTGGAGAGCCACAAACGTTTCAGACCGATGTAGGTAGTGCAGCGGGGTCCAAAGCTGTTTTTCAAATGCTGCGTTTCTCATCCCACACGAGCAGTGGGAAGGGGGCCGATGCCCCAGGCAGCACTCTTGATGACCTCTCGTGTCAAACTTCAGTTTGGTGGCAATGTGTCGTGGCCAAGGGAGGGGTCTTGCAGATAACCCACAGGAATTAAATACTGGGGGCCACGCTCTCACTGCATGTGACCCAGGAGCGGGATGTGTTCCCACTGCTACAAGTGTATTTTTGGCCCATCTGTCTGCAGGCTCTGCCAGAAACCCTGAAACAGTTTTCATACTTTGAGATGCAGTTTTCCAACAATATGGCTTAGATTTTTTAAATGTGAGGGCAGTGGATGGCAGCGAACGTGGCAGCTTCTCCTGGGGGGTGGTGCTCTGCTGGGGCAGGGGCCACCCGCCTTCATCTCCAGTTTTAGCCCCCCCCTTTCCAGGTCTGCCTATTTTAGAAAATGCCAGTTTTGCTCTTGGCAAGGAGCCTGAAACACTTGGTTTTCGAGTGGCCTCACACCTGTACCGCGGCTGCCTCCCAAACTGCGTCCTGGCCCAGCATCGCAGCCGGCTGTGCAGCACGTGCCAAGCTCCCCGGGCTGCTCTGCACAAACGGGTTGTGTGCTGACAACAAGGTGCAACTCTGGATGGATCTTCCCACGTCGGCTCTTTTCCTGCTTTTAAAACTTGCTTTTAGCTTCATTTTGTCCTGATGTGTTTATTTCTCAGCAGGAGAAAGGCAGCGGCGGTGAGGCAAGGGCACCCTTGGTGCCGCGCTCCCTTCGTTAACAGCAGGCCCCATTTATTTGCCAGCCAAGACCTTCCCCTTGTTCCCCTCGAACACTTTGAAGCCTCTACCTTTCTCCTCTCATTTGAAAGCAGGCGCTGGGACTGTCTTCGTATTCCTCGTGTATATTTAACCATAAATTGCATCTGACTGCGGTGACACTAATTACGGCGGAGGCGCTGGGAGGCAGCCCCCCTCGCAGGGAGCGTGGCCAAGAAACCCGCCGTGACTGGCAGGTGCTTCGACCGCTTCAGACAACTGCAATTTCCTACAAGCGTCCTTCCCCTTCGCGGGGGCCTCGTGGCTTCGGGGGGCACGGGGCTGGCCCCCGACCCTTTGGCGTCGGACCCCTGGGGCATCTTCTGCAGGCTGTCCTCTCCCTTTGTAAGGAACAAAAGGGATTTTTCCCTCCCTCGGGAAATGTGGACGTTTCCCAGCGACGTGCTGCCGAGGTGTTTGACCAAATGTTATTAAAACTCGGCAAGGGCTGATAATCCCAGAAGCAGCGCGGCGCGTTCCTGTGACATTGAAATCATTTAGTAATTTTACAGTACATTTGAATTTCGGCGTTGCTCAGCCTCTCACTTTCCATTAACTTTGCCCGGAATTTCTTATGGCCGTGCACACAAGCAGAAGTGTCAAGTTTCTCCTTCATGCTCCAAAACGCCACCTGAATCACAATTGTGCTGCAGCTAATTGTTATTAATTAAGCTGTTCCTAGCGGTCCTAGCTGGGCTTTTTCTCTTTTTTTTTTTCTTTTTTTTTTTTTTTTTTGCCTGTAATAAAAAGCAAACACATTCTGTAAGCGCAGCAGTTGCTGGTATTAAGGAGGGAAAACAAGGGAGCCCTGTTCCCAGGAACTTCTCCGCACCCCGTGAGATGGTTTTGCTGGTTTTGGGGTGGGCGCGTGTGTTTTTAAGGGGGTTTTGAAGCCATGCAGAGCCGGGCTCTTTGCTGCCAAATGAGATTCGCTGACCTTCCGTGCCATTTACCCGTCACAGGCAGGCAGCTCCAAGGGCATTTCGCAGCGGGTAAATTTGCACTGAGCCGCTCTCCCCGCACGTGCTCCTGCATCACTTAAGCGTGCGGCCGCGGCCAAAGCCCCGGTCACAAGTTTTGGATGGGATCACATGCCGGGAGCCCTGTGCATCCCACCGGGCTCCCCCTCCCGCCTTCCTCGCCTTTCCCAGGTTCAATTTAATGGGATCATCAAGTGGAGTGAGCGAGGAGGAAGGTATTAATGAATCGGGGACCCCGGGAGCGGTGTTGTCGGCGCTGGAAAATTGCTTCTTGGCCTTTTCTCCTTAATGAGGCTGCTGATAACGTGCCCGTTGCTTCCCACCTGGCCACGAGGAGCAGGGCGCTTGTCACTCAGCCGCCTTTCTCCCTGTTTGTTTGTGAAAATAAAATGGGGTGGGGAGAGCTTTGGGCAGAAACACCGTGTCGTCTTGTGGGATACAGGAACATAAAGCTGCTCTCGGGCTGTGGGAATATGTTATCTGTGTCTTCAAAAAAAGCAAGCAGACATCTGCTGTGCCTTTCCTTTTTTTTTTTTTTTTTTTTTTTTTCACCCTTGCGTTAGGTTAAGAACCAGAAAACAGGTTATTTTGGCACATCACTGGGACATGTTATTTTAACAGAGAACTAACAGTTTCCATTTGCAGGGTAAAGGTGCTTGTAAATGGCCTCTTATGAAGTCAGAAATAGGTTTGGGATTTTTCCTAGCTGTAGTTGGAAAGGATCAGGGGAACAGCTTGTGCACAGAGCTAGGAGATTTGCCCAGGGGTACGGGGCGGCGGTGGCTCATGTTTAGTCTGTTCCTGGAGCTGCCCCAGGTGTGTACGAGGCATCGCCTTGCCTTCATCCCAACAAAGCTCTGGATGTTTTGCTGTGAAATGCCCATTCTCCTGCTGGAAGCATTTGTGGAAAAGGCACTTCTCATGGGAAGGCAGTGGAAGGCTTTAAGGCCACTTACCGGGACAAAGGCCTCACTCCACTCTTCTCCAGAGCGCTGTCTCTGACTCTCTCCCCGGCTGCAGTATGGATCCTGGGGAGGACTGGCTGGTGGATTTGGGCTGGTTGTTCCCCAGGCAAGGTGTGTGTGCCGTCTGTGTCTGCTAAAGCTGCTTTGCAACGTCTGCAGAGGAGACCAGGAGACCTGGATGGCCCCTGTGGGGTGAGCATCTCGGATAAAGCGAGGATCAGCCCTCCACGGGTTCCTCATTTTAGGGAAAAGGGCTAGGAAAAGAGAGAATCACAACAGACCAACTTTATTATGTGTGTGTGCATACATATATGTCAAAATACATGCAGGGCAAGGAGCACGGGCTCGTGATTTTGTGCCTGCGCAGTGTCTTCACTTTCCCCTGCCTTCCCAAGGCCCTCCCGTTATTAAGGGAGGCGAGCTCCAGCGCTGATGCCTCTGTTGATGAAACACTCCTACTGCTGTGGAGCGGGGGATTCAAGCTAATGGTGCTCCTGCTCCCAGGATTTACCATTTGGAAGGTATTTTATTGCTATCTTGTGACATTTCCCTGCACTTTTATGCTCATTTATATAACTGTTGTCCTTGATTTATGGCCAGTTTTCTTCATGGGTAGCAGTGACATAAATTGTGCAGCCCTACTTTCGGAGGTTATAAATTTGAGGAGTTCAGTAAACTATGGGATGGGGGAAAAAGGGCGGAAGCCTTTTGAAGAGGCTTTTGATCACAGCCCCAGACAAAATAACCAGTTCTTTCGGTGCAAATCCGAAGCGAGCATCCCAATAGGTTGGTGCAGCCTGCTTCTTGCATGCAGCCAGCTGTGGGGCATTTGTAGGGTGAAATGCGAGGTGTTGGTTTCTGGTAACAGGATGCACAAGGCCAAACCCACACGGCGGTGGCGTTTTTACAGCAAAGCCTTGGAGCTCTGTTAACCAAGGCCTGCAAGGGGTTTTCGGAGGAGCAGCAAATTAATGTGCTTCTTTTCATCATAGTTCTGCTTGTTCAGATGATGTTGTTTAAAACCCTCAAACAAGCTGAGGTTCCCGAGGAGCGGTCGGTGGCCATCAGAGTTGCGAAGCCTATCAAAGCCACCGGTCAGGCCAGTGAAATAAAGAGCTCAGGTTTTGATTTTCTTGGCATCTCTCTTTGTAGAGGAAGAGAAACAGCTCATTTAAAAACTGCTTTCTGAGTTGGGCTGTCAGAGCAGCTTTCTGTTGACCTTTACAAATTGATACCGGCACAATCAATGGCCAGAAGTTTAAGGGCAGTCTCTGGGGGGGGGTGGGGAAGAAACCCAGACCTTTATAAAATATATATGGAGTGCATTTTAAGAAGCCCAACAGAAAGAACAAGCAACGTTAACAGAGAACGTATTGGAGAAAACTGATCCGTAAAGAATTCATAATACACAGTTTTGACTACAGTTACTTAGAGCTTGTCTTTTGGGATGATTTCTGAAAGTACACGAGACAAAAAAAAATAATAAATGCGCCTTATAGGAAATCCAGAACAAATGATATGTTGGGCTTGGAAAACAATTGGAGGTTTTGAAGGTGCTTTGCCTGATTCGACAACAGGTGAAGTACATTTAGGGAGCAATTTCCCAGCACCTGTGACACCCCCGCCTCCTTATAGCCTCAGAAAAATGAAGCTGCTTGAGGAGACTCAATAGAAATTCCATGAGAAGGGGTAAGTCAGCCCGACTGTGATTTCAGGAACCAGCTTGTGTGTTTTCTGAGCAGTCAGGGAGACAGAGGGAGGAGCTCATCCAACACAGCCCTGCAGCCCTTGCTTCCCAGGTAAAATAGGAGGAAGCTTCAGCCCTGCGCTGAATACGCTGCTCTTATACAAGGAAGTCATAAATTGAAATGTGTTCCTCTGTACAGATATAAAATTAAAAACCAGTCCCTTTACTTCTTACTAGGGACAAAGGCTTCTCATCAGTAGCGGTAAGGTTTTATACATTGTGTTTGGCAGAGCTGAAGCCCTCAGAGGTCTCAAAAGACCTGACTGGGTGCTCAGCACATCTGAAGGATAGGTTGGGGGGTTGTTTAGCTTTTTATTTTGATTGTATTTATGTTGTGGGACCGGGCTCTCAGTTCCAAGCATGCAGGTGTGAGAAAGCAGGAGCTTGGTGAGTGAGGGTGCCGTGCAGGGGAGGCGCAGCAATGCATGTGAAGCTGTGCGCAACGTGCGGGAAGTACAACTGGGGAAGGGTGCGTGTGCCAGAAGACATCAGCTTAAAACACTAGCTTAAGACCAGGCTGTGTGTTTTACATATACAGTATAGGGAAAAAAAAAAAAGGTTCTTGCATGGAACCATTACTAAAAGTTTGTTTTTCCTGCCTATAAACTGATACTTGAACTTGGTTTAATAACATACGGTTTTTGTTGCTCTGTGTGGCCACAGGCAATTAGGAAAACACAGCCACCAGTTCAAGGAAGGCTTCTGGAAGGAGCCCTTGAGACCAGCGCTTCAACTTGGTGACTCCCCTACAGCCAGGGTCCAGCATTTTGTCTCTGGGTAGTCGGTGCCATCAGCCCCCGCAGCTCCCCAGCATCAACACAGCGAAACCTTCCCTGCCTTGCAGCTTTCAGTAATTACCATTTCATCTGTCTTCCACGAGCTGAATTCTCCTGTCTGTTTGACAAGGAGTTGCTTGAGAACCTGTTATTTTCATCAATGAAAATAAACTGTGTGCAGCTTCAGCTTAATAGACAGGTGCATATTTGCTAAAATAGTGTGATTTTTTTTGGTTTAATTGCACTCTCCTGCATTACCCCGTCCCCTTGAAGCAAGCTGGGCTCACTTTTGCCCCTTGGATGGGGGCTCCCAATCCCAGCACACTTCTGGGGGGTGCTGGGTTTCCTTATTCCCCAAATGTTTGTCCAGGGGCTTTGTTTAACCCCCTGTTGTGTTTTGTCCTGGGGAGTTGCCAAAATCTGGGGAGGTTGATCATTCCAAAGCAGTCCACTTTGTGTGCTACGATTCCATAGTTACCTTAATAATTTTGATAGGTGGTCTTTGGATTATGCGATAATTCCCGATGCGAAGGGAGAATGACTTCAATGGGAGATGTCAGGGGAATTTCCAGGGAGATTTCAGTGGCTCGTGCACACCCTGTAACGATGGGGCAGTTGCTGTGTGCTTCACTGGTGAGTAATTGCCCTGCTTACATGGGCAGATATAAAAGCACCCGGCCCACCTACCCGTCCTGAGCGTCATCTTTTATACAGACAGTGCTTAAGTAGCAGTAAGCAGGACCTGAGGGCTGGTTCCCATTTGGCCGAGTGTTTCAATATCCTACCGGCAGCAAGGACCGAGATCCCCTTCTCATTGCAGCGGCTGCCAGGGCTCCTGCTGGATTCCTGGGGATGAGGATCCGGCCGACGCTGAATGAATGCGCTCCCTTGTGCCCGCACCAGCTCGGTGTGTTTGTACAGCGTTAATTAAAATGCATTTAAGTTGAGCGAATGCTTGTGGCACTCGGGGCCCCTCTGGGGAAGGAGCAGGCAGCCAGGCGAGCGGAGCCCCCGGCTGTTGGCGAGTCCCAGCAGGGCAGCCGGAGCTGCCGGCGAGGGCGGCTGCTGCTTAGCAGCAGGCACTGCTCTGTGCCAGCCCCCAGCCCCAGGAGAGCTCCTGCATGTCCCCACACCATGGGCGGGGAGGAGGTCTGGGGCCAACCTGGCAGCAGATGGCTTTGGTGTACCTAAATCGAGTTGCGGTTAAGGCAGAGGCACAAAACCAGCCCAAATGCTTCCCTCCCTTCAGCTCCTGCCCATGTGCTTGCGCTCCATCATCTCCCCCTGCCGACCTGGCCTTCCTCTAGAAACCTACTAGCACTGAAGAAACGCCCCAAAGCCTTCCTGCTGCTGTGAGCTGGCTGTGCTGTAGACATTTCCATCATTTGCACCGCTTTGCTTCGGTCAGCACAAGGCTGGGAGGGCAATATTTGCAAACTTGTGCCTTCAGCCTGGCACCTCCCTCTGCATCCAGCTGCCCCGGCATGCCTGGCCTTGTATTACTCAGGATCAGTTATCTGCAGACTCCTTCATCTTGGGACGCACTGGTAACAGGCTGTGTTTTGGTGCTGTAGGGGAGGATTTGGGTTCTTGGTGTTAGAAGCTTAATTTTGGGCACTGCACAGAAAATGAGGCGGGAACAGGCAGGCTGTAGATCTAAGACCAGACTAAGCCTGGCGCTGGAAGCAGAGACTGCTCAAACCTCTCTTAGATAATGTCTATTAATTGCTCGTTTTGGCCCGGTGCTTCATCAGGAGAAAAACTGTAAACGCTGAAAACACTCAGTGAACTAAGTTATTTTTTGCATCCTGCAGCTGGTAAGAAAATGCCACGCTCCCTCTACGCCGTGCATTCATCCTCACTAGGCATTTATTTGCATGGCTGTAAAAAGAAATCTTGAATTTTAAATGCTTTTCTAACACAACTTGCCGGTTTGACGGCTGGCGCCAGCGAGCTGCTTGCAGCAGGGATGGGGCTCCTGGACGGGGGTGGCAGCAAGCGGCGTGGGGCCACGTGTCCCCCCCGTGTCCCCTCTATCCCTCAGGCTCCCGCCAGCTTGGAGGCTTTGCTGCTGCCTCCTCGTCGGAGCAAGCGCTTCCAGATTCCCAGCAAGACCTCAAGGAGAGCCAGATGATGGAGCAGATGGCAGATGACTAATTTGGCAAAGTTAGACGAGTGGAAATTGTTTGCTTTAATTGCTTGTCAAGTCCGGTACCTACATTATAGTTAAGGAGCAACTATTTACCCTGGAAATATGATGAAATGAGGAAAGAGAGTGTGTGTGCGTGTGTGTGTGGATGTCTGTGAAGAGCAGGGAGAAGAAGGGAAGGGGAAGTACCCAGGGAAAATAAATGGGTATGCACCCGTGGAAAAAAACAACAGCATTGGCAAAGCCTCGTGTATTATTTTTGGCTTTTTTTGAGTGGTTGCTGCGTGACTTAGGTCCTGCAGCACATCTTCCCCATGTTGTCCTTCCTGATTGCAGCATGGACACGAGGAGAAACAACGCTGGAGATGCTAGCATAAAACAAGCAGCTGACAGTGGCTCGACACGGTCGGCACAGGCAATTATCCTTGAAATGCCGCAGTATCAATCTAGTCAAAGTTTTGATGCCATTTTTTGGTTGATGCAAATGCTACATCAGTGAAATAATGCTGCGTAGCAGCAACCAAACAGATTTTGGAGAGCTCGGTGCAAAGACAGGGTGCCACCAGCTCAGGAAGGTGTCATCGCACATAAATAATCCCTCTCGATGAAGTTACAGTCCCTGGCAGTCTCCACTATGCCTGTTCAATTCTGTGCTTGTAACACTGGGAGAGATCTGCCCGTTGCAGATGGCTTCTGATGAGTCTCTGTCGGAGGTGGGGCCACCCTCATCAAGCACGGCCCTGCTCCTTGTGTGACAGCACCATTGGACACAAGATCTGGGGGCTTGGAGCACGTTTCCAGACCCGGGGGCCGTGCTAGCTGGTGGGATTCGAAGGGGATGGCCGTGTTGTAGCAGGCCTTATGGAAGGAAAATGCTTGTGTCAGCTGAGCTTTTAATTAGGAGTAGAGAGAAAATGATGCTTTCCTTCATGACAGCCTCTCACCTAGGGAAGGGAAGCTTCCAGTTTGAAGATGCTCTCCGGAAGCTGATGGGGTCAAAGGAGGAGAGGTGGCGACCTCCAGTCGGTGTTTGCCTTCTCCCAGGAGCCATCTGCAGGGCTGTGAGGGCAGGCAGGCCCTCCCTTCATTAGGATGTGCCTAATTGCAAGAAAATGCAGGGCTTGCAGCTCGTTTAAGGAGAGCTGTAAGGTAATGAAAGGATTAAAACTGTTTTCCCCTTCTTCTGTGCTGGGCGCAGGGCACCCAGGCTTGTGCTGGGAGCAGGGAGCCGAAGGAAATGAATGGGGGCTGCTGTGAAATTGCTGGTAATTAGCTGTTCGTTAAGGGGCTCCAGTATTTCCCCCCCAGCTGGGGGGTCTAGCAAGTTGCCAGGAGTGTTTGCAATTATTAATAAACAGTTACTTCAGCTGTCCTTCAAGAAACCCTGGTAATGGTGCCGTCTGTATAAAGACAGCTAATTAAGTAAATAAATGAGAGGGAAGTACAAAAAGGCTGCATTAGGAAGAGGTGCTAAATGTTGTTAGGCTCCTCCTGGCTGTGATAAAGGAACGTATAATTCCATGCTACTAAAAAAAAAAAAAAAAGCGTGACTGGGAGCGTTTAAGCCTTGTCTCGTGTTTTTGGCCCGCTTGACAAATGCATCAACAAACAGAGGTCGTGCCGTGTGCAGGCGGAGATGCTCTCCTGCCTCCTCGCTCAAATGTCCTGTAATTGGGAAGACTGAAAGGCAGAGCTTGGGACCATGGGGTGTGCCGGGGCGTCTGTGATGACTGCTGACATCTAGCCGGGTGCGCAAGGTGATGCCTCCTTGCTGCTTGGCCGAATGCACGAGACACCGGGGTGGCTGGGTGGAGGTGACAGTATTTTCTCCTGGATAACTCAAACTGTAGGCAAATCCAGAGAGGGGCTGCATAAAAAAATGAAACAGGTTGCCCTCCTTCCAAAAGTTAGCTCGTCTGTTGAGCTGGGAGGATTGTAAAATCAATTAGAATTGCAAGAACCAGAATTAGACTGAGTCGAAATGAGTTTGTAATATAACACAGAGATTTGTCATCAGCAGAGCTGAGCACAATAATGGCCTAAAAAGCAGAAACTAAAGGACATTTTTAAATGCCTCCACTATTTCCTGCCTCTGAGTGAGCATCCAAATGGTGTGGCTTCGTTAGGAAAAAAATGTCAATGGGAAATTAATTTCAGAGTCATATGCATGAATATTGATGAAAAATGTAAACTCACTTCAATACGGACAATTATGACTGCTGTAATTGGGGCCATTAGGAGCTGAAGCAGTTCTCTGTCACTTGAGGTAGCTGGGGAGAAGGAAGCAACTGAACCTGAAGCACGAATGTGTGGGGAACGCTGGGGGCCCAGCGCTGTGATGACCAAGAGTGCTGTGCCCACCCGACATGCCCAGCCCTCCCGGCCGCTCCCTTCTGCACAGGTGCCCAAAGGGGAGGGGTAAGACAGGGAAAAGCCATCACAACAGTCAGAGTGGGCACAAAATAAGAGAGATGCTGGTTTTTTTTGTTTGTTTTTGTTTTTTTTCCCTTTTTAAAATACCCTTTTCAGTGAGAATTAGTGGCTCTGCCAATGAGACCTGCATATGGGAGGAGGATGCCCATTTCTTTGGGAGCTGGATGCCCATTTCCACCCTCCTCTGCAGGGAGGCAGCTCTCAGCTCCCTAGCTCCTACTGCAAGATGAGTTGGCTTCTGGATTGCAGCAGAGCATGGGAAAGGGTCCTCAGAGTTAGAAGAAGTCAATAAAAAGAATTAGGATGAAAAGCCAGAGATTTACTCCAGGTCACCGGGAACAGGAATCTGTAAGTTTTCTGGTTTTGTTTCCACTGGCTGCACTCTGCACTGCAGGACGGTGCAGTTCCCCAAACCATCCAGGTTTGGGGGTTAGGTGAGAAGCAGGCACAAGGCTTCCCAGATACAAAGGTGCACTGCCTCAGCTTTCGGATGATGATAGTGGTGGCTCTCCACGCCTGTGTATGAGCACTTGGCAAGGTTTGTTACCATAATTCTAGGAGAGGGCATGGCAAAGGGCTTGCAGATAGCATGTTTGGAGAGAAATGTACTTGTGAGCATCGTGGCACTGGGGTAGCCCGGCACAGGTCAGCTGCTCCCTGGGTTTCTGTCTGAGAAAATGTATGGGATTGTCAGGTTTTTCTGTGTGCAGCACTGAAATGGCTCTGAAGGGCTTTCCTCTCTGAGCTGCCTGTGCAAAATTTGAGCAAGTTGGGAGCGCTCCTGCTCAGAGGCCAAGGCAGATTTACGTTCACATTCCCCACTGGGAGAAGCTACAGGCTGGAGAGGCACCTGAGCTAGTACTGTGCTGACCCTGTTAGAGACAGGCCAATTAGTATTTTTTTTGTGAGCCAAGAGAGGATCCGGTGCAGGGACTGCTTTCAACACGTGGTCTTTGTTTTCGTACTGTTCATCAGGTTCTGGGCCCATATAAGATAAGCAGCGTACAACCAAGTGCCTTGAAGAGGTGCTTCTCTATACAACTGAGATGACAGTGGTTTTGTATGGCACAACAAGGCACATGGCACGATGTTCTCTTGTGCTCATGTTTCTTTTGGCACTTTGTTTTAAAGAGCTGAGACAACACACGAGTGCCAGTACTGTTTCAAAAGACTGCAAAGGCTGGAGGTGCTCTCCCAGCTCGGGCACATATTGTAGGATATTAGCTCTGTTACATCCCCCTTCCATGCAGGAGGGTCTGTCTGGTACTGCTGCTTGGTTTGAGGCAGTCTGTGACCGATTTTCCTCCCTTGGCAGGGGAGATGGACACCTTTTGCCATGCATCTCCCAGCAGCAGAGGCCCAGGTGTGAGCTGGCACAAGGAGAGGCTTTATGCACCAGAGGGGATTTCTTTTTTTCTAAGAAATTAAATGCTTGGAATCACTGCGAGATAAATTTAGAAGAACAACGTGAGCTCTTCTAAATTTGCTTTTAAGATTTTATTCATCTGAAAGAATTGATTTCCATAGCATTATCAAAAGCCAGCAGTAGTTACTGCAAGGTTTAGTTGTACAAAATTAATCTTCCTCTAATAAAACTTCCAGCCCTGGTTTACATCTCGGCTGGTTTCACTCCTGTTGCTGCAAGAGCAGGCTCCAAATGTTCTGCCTCCTTACAGCAAAAAATGGCTAAATTAGCTTTTGTGAAACATTTAATGTGCGTGCGACATGAAATACCAGTGTTGCGGTGGATAGCTTTATTAGCTGAGCTGCTGGAATTGTTTTCTGAGCTATGTTGATCCTTAGCACCGATTGCGAAATGGAACAGAAATTATTTATTAGTCCTCAGGAGCCTTAAGACAGAATAATACTTATTTGGCTGGAAACACAGTCAATCTTAGTGTTATAGATGCTGCTGCTTTCAAGGAAAAAGCAAACAAAGTGATTTTGTAATCGGTAACAAACATTTTCCGAAGGCTTCTGGCAGGGACACGCGGGCAGCTTCCTGAAGGGTTTTGATGCCTGTGGCAGCGGGGCTGGAACTTGATGGTCTCTGAGGTCCCTTCCAACCCAAGCCACTCTCCGACTCTGTGACCCCTGGATCTGAACGAAGCTTTACGTACGCGCTAGGATGGGGCTTTGTATTTCAGAAAGGACGATGCAGCAGTGGTTGATCTTTCTGGCTGTTCATACTTACCAAGCTGGGAGTCCTCAAAAATACCCCTTAAATGTTACAAACAAAATCCTGCCTTGGAGTGTTTTACTCAAAGGGTAAGGTTTTGTGAGAAACCGGGAATGTTCGTGCTTTAAATCATTGCTTGAAATCAGGTAGTGTTTATTTTAAAATCCATGTAAACCAGACAGTATTTTTACTTTTCATTTTGCAGCGCATTGTAATGTATTTCAAACATTTCAAGTTTATAAACCTGGTGGGGACTTCGGAATTGTAATTTGAGTAAGTCACAGAAAGTGTTAAAAACCTACATCCCGTGCCTTATTTCCTTTGGTAACGAGACCACACATGTACATGGCGAAGCAGTCCCATGTAGTGCCTCTTCTGCTTTCGTCTGTGCTTCAGCTGCTAGGAACGCAAGAGAAGAGAATTATCTGCTAACCCCTGAGCCCACAAACGGCTCAGAGCGATGCCAGCCTCAGGATTGCTCCCCGGTGGGGCATTCCAGCTGAGGAGGAACAGCTTTCCGCTGCCATTTGGAGGGCAGGGGGAGTTTCCTTGGGAGCAAACTTGGAGCAGTCGGGGGGCTCTGGGCTGCCTCCCGCAGCCCTTCGCCAGCCGGCTGTCTGGGGCTCGCATCGCCCTGGCACCGGAGCAGATTGCTCTGCGGCAGGCGAGATGCACGGCGGAGGACGCAGATGAGAATTGTTTCTGTTAAAAAAGCAAAGCAAAAAGGGTGTAGTAAGTAAATACTCGATAATAGTAGTACTCCAAAATCTAATCGCTTTTGGTCTTTTAAAGGAAAAAGGACCTGCATCGTTCAGAAGAGCATATTTTAGCCAATTTTACTGATTAGGCCTCCAGTCATGGAGGGTTTTGTTTGTATTGATCTAATCCAGCAGTGGGAATGGCTCCAGAAATGCTCTTCTGGTCTGGCTCATGTTTTGCATAATATAATGCCCATTTCAAAAGTTCGGGTAGATTCAGATTAATTTGTTCGCAGATAAGAGCAGCCCACAAGCTGTCAGTAGAGAGGAAAAGTAAGTGCGTGCAAAAAAAAAAAGCCCAGCCCCATGCTCAAACATTTAAGTAGCATTGCTCTTATGACAGGCTGAGAGCTGCATGAAAAAATGCTGCTGTAAAATCCCGCTTCTGTGTTTCTTTCCCGGATTCATTTTTGTCGCTGCTTGATGCACGGCAATCTAATAGACTGAGCAGAGCTGTGATTTGGCACTGGCTTTGAACGGGACTTGAAGATTCAGAACAGAGTACTGTAATATTAAAGAACATCTTCTGAAAACTGACTGTATTTGGCTGGTATTTCCTAACTCATCTGACACAGCTCCCTTGTGCATTCAGATCACAGTCTGGTGACTTGCGGAAAGACAGTAGGCTTTTGCTCTGTCTTTTATTATTTAATTGTGCAGAGCTCGGAAGAGCTGGGGACTTCAGGAAAGAGGAGGAAAAGTGATGCTGGGTACAAGCCTTCTGCCAGGTTGTTCTTGGTTTATTGACAGGTCCTTCTAGGTGTCAGATGAATAGGAAAAATGCTGGATTGCACAGGTCAGCTGAGATACACAGGTCTCTCTGGCCTCTTATCCTTAAATTTGTAAGCACTCAGTGTTCAGCATCCTGTATCCAGGGACTTCACATGGTCCTGGTTTTTGCTCTTAACGTGCTGCAGTCAACTTGTTTTCCATTTGTCCTACATGTTTGCATTTTCCACATTTCTGGATGTTCAGTGGTAAATACCAACACCTGGTCCCTTTGGTAAGAGATACTTAAATTGCTGAGATGATCATGGACCTTCGCACATCTGCTGCTGATACCCAATCCTGTAATTAACTCAGAATTATTATTCCAGATACCTGTATCCCTGGATATAAATCTTCATTCCTTCTCTGCTCCTGTTTTCTTCCTTACTTGCTCTGATTGCACTTGTCCTGTGGTTTCTTGCAGTGTGTGCTGGCACCGAGAACAAGCTGAGCTCCCTCTCGGACCTGGAGCAGCAGTACCGGGCCCTGCGCAAGTACTATGAGAACTGCGAGGTAGTTATGGGCAACCTGGAAATCACCAGCATCGAGCACAACCGAGACCTCTCCTTCCTGCGGGTAAGCAACCTCCTCTTTATTTCCTCTCCATCTTCTGTGTACAGGGGAGTAGCCACAACGCTGGGCTGGAGGATGGCAGGGCTCCTGCCCACCAACTCCCAGAGCCTGCAGGAGAAGAGGCTAATAAAATGTCACGGATGCACAGAGCACAAGAGCGATGTCGTGGCTGTGACAGGTGCTCTGAGTATGGCATTTACATGCGTCCAGGACGTGAGGGAGAAAGCTGTGTCACGCCGCAGGAGGGTGACACCTTGCTGGCCTCTATGGCTGCGTGCTGCCAGCAGATCTGGAGCTCTTAGGGTAGTGCGTAGGGAGGTTGGAGCAGTGCAGGTAAGCACTGGTGGCTTGGGCAAGCTTGCCCTGATAAAATGTGATGTGTGGACTGGTTAGTAGGGTAAACAAGGGAAGAACTCTGAAACAAAAGGTGTTTATTGAATTAACATAAAACCCTCTTCACTGTGGAGCCTGGGTTGTGTGATCCCCCAGCTTCTTGCTTTAGAGGTTTTCCTATTTTGTTTAAATACTGTGCTTCTAGCCTGTGTGTTTGGGAAGGAGTATTTCGATGTGGTTTGTGCATTACCTGTTAACTTGGTAGCAACTACAAGGAGTAGGAGGTGAATGCCAAATGGCAAGAATTTAAACCCATCGTGATTTGGCATGCCAAAACTCATTATGTTTGACAAAAATGCCTGGTAAAGGAGTGGTCCAATGCACATAGATGAAATTGGTGCGAGAACCATGTTTGAAAACAGCCCGCGGTGGTGTGGTTACAGACTGCACGGGTCGTGCTCTCAAATAGAAGTCAAGCCGTGACACGGATGAGGATTTGTGCTGCCTGTATCGTATGGTATCACTCGCATATCATTCTGCAAAACGTTCCTGTCACGTGGCAAGATACGTGTCTGCATGTAAGTCGCATTTTCGTAAAAAGCACGTAGGGGAGCAGCGGAGTTCTCATCCGGCAGCCCCGCAGGTTGTGTTACACTCAGGCGTTCGGTTTGCTGGGTCTCGGGAGAGCCTCGTGCTCAATTTCAGTTCACAAAAACTTGAACTTTCCATTACGGCATCTAACAAAGGCAAGCAGAGCCTCTGACAGCGTGCTTAACATTTCTTCGTGTTAAATTTGTTGGGGGTTTCTCAGGATTTCTGCTCTATACATCAGCCTATATTTACTCGAAGCGTACACCAGGCTGTGAAAAGATCTGCAAGCAAAATTCAGCTACCAGATACGCGTCTGGAGTGAAGTTTGGGGTGCTAATTGCACTCAGACTAACAGGTTGCCTGTTAATTTGAGCGACGAATGCCTAGGAAGTAAATGCTATCTGTACATTTCACAGTTGTGACAGGTGGGGAAAACACATATGTGCCTGAGCTCCGAAATAGATAGCCCTGGGGCAGCTGGACTAACGGTTCCCACTGTGCTGCACAGGCAGCGGAGTCCTTGTGCAAGGGCAGGGTCCCTGCGCTGCTTTGGGCAGCGCTGGAGTTTCAGATGCTTCCTGAAACTCCCACCGGGGCCATCGTGCATGCCTCTGAATTGATTAAATTCATCGCAGATAGTTCACCCGCTTCGGCTTCCCGTCCTTCTTGCTCTGACCAGCAGGTAGGTGGGGAGAGCAAATTAACAGGGAATTAAAGTCACTGTTCCTCGTGGGGAGCTGCTGCAAGCAGAGGGACATCTTAGCAAACAAGAGGGGGTAAAAGCAGAAAATGAGAGCAAAAAAGGATCCTGTGTAGCAGAGGAAGGTTGTCTGGTTACGCTTGCTTCTTGGAACAGTTACCATTGCGTTTTCATTAGCATTATTGCTTATTTTACCTAGGACTGCACTCTCACTGAAATCTCAGCAGAAAGCAGAACTTGAAACAAACCCCAGCAAACTGCAAGTCTATGTAATGTGATAAATTGTGGTCATTAAAATAGAAAACCAAACAGAGGAGAACGTGTTCTCGGTGAGGCAAGTAAATAAACAAATGTTGGCATATTTATGCCGATAATTCAACATTCATTAGTTAGGCAATGTTACTTGTTTTATCATTTTAAAAGTGATTTTAACCGCCAAATGAAGGTGGCAGATGGGAGATAACTAAATGAAGGGCTATTTATCTCTCCTAGACTTCAGCGTGGTGAACTCATCCTGCAACTCGTATGATGCTCCTCTGGCCTACTCCCCTTTTTTCCCAGTTTCTTGCAAAATGTGCCCTCTTTCTCCACCATGTCGACTTTGAGCAGTCAGTTGCTAGTTTGTGGGTTGGTGTTGTCTGTACATCTGTCTGAGGAGTACCGTGTCTCTGTGCCCACCTGCCTTCTCGGTAGCCCCCAGCTTAGAGGGAAGACCTAGCAAACTAGGCCTGCTCACCTTCTTATCATGCAGTCATAAATGAATTCAAGTGGGGGGGGGGGGGGAACAGATAATTTTATTTGTGCCAAGGAAGATTAAAAGATCAGCATCCCATCTTTCATATTTATTCAGACATTTATTCCCTAAGTAAATTTGCTTTACGTGTACGAGTTAGCTCACTTCATGTGCTGATTAAGACTAAAAAGGGCTGCCTGGCACCTGAGCGAAACGTTCAGCCACCACACTTTGAAGCCTGACAGCGTGTGCATGGCATCGAGATCGCAAGCAGTTTCACTCACCTAAGAAGGGTTTGCATATTCCCCCAGTTTTTCCCAAGCACTCCTGTATGCTCTCATCCTGCCATTTTGGGAGCTTGGTATCCCCTGCTTGTGGGTGGCCAAAAGGAGGGAGAGCAACTGCAGCTCGAGGTTGTCCTTTGTGTGTGCCAGCCTCCGGCTCCAGCAGCTCTGCTCCTTGAGTCTTGCTGAGGCCAGAGTGGAGATTTACCTCCCTGGTTGGGATTTCAGAAAAGATAGCTGTGCTCTGGTTCGTGTTGGAAGTGATGGTTTGGTTTTGGAGACGAGGACCTTATTCTATTTTCACGTGGCAAAGCTGACAGCTTGTATTGTGGGCAGTTCTTACTTCTTAATGGCATCTCTGCATTCAATTTTCTGAATGAAAAACACAATTAGTATACCACAAAATCATCTTCTGCAGGCACTCTTCTTCTGTTAAACACATTTAGTAAACAAGAGTTATCTTAGACTAATCCTCAGCCTTTTAGCAATTCGCAGGCAGTAAATTGTTTTCTTGTCCCTGGATTTTATTTAACCAATTCAGATTATTTATTTTTGACGACATGACTGAAGTTCTGCGCTGCTCGCTGCCATAACTCTCCCAAATGATTATGAAACTTATTTCTAACTGCAATCAACGGCCTTCAGAAATGATCTACCATCGTTTGATAAATTCCGTGTTCATTTACCTCTGTAGTTCCTTTACCCACAGCAGCGTTAGCAGTTATATCTGCGCGTCGATTAACCGAGCTCGGCAGGCAGCTTGATAGCTGCTCTGGGTGTGCAGCAATGCACGGCCACGTTGTCCCTGTGTTGACACACAGAATGGGGTGGGCTGTGAAAACCAGGACCCTTTGACTTCATGGCAGGTGGAGTGTGAGGGTTTGGGTGTTATATCAGGAATATAGATACTTTTTGCTTCTGGCTTTGTTGCAGTCTGGGAGGAGGATTGGGTCAGACAGAGCCCCTCCAAGGAAGGGAGCTTGTGTAAGCAGGCAAGGGAAGAGCTGGTTGCAAACCTCGCTACCTGGCCCCTGGGTATTTGGGACTGCTTCCGGTTAAAAAATGAGTATTCTGTATTTTTAGAAAGCTTTCTGGTCTCTTATAACAAATCAAGTCCCTTCTGAAAGCTCTGGCTGCCTTGCTGAGCCAGTGATGGAGCAGGGACAGAGACTGTGGCCTGAGCAGATGCGTTGGGCTGAGGAACGCAGAGACAGGAGTGCGGTGCCATGGCCAGGTTGCTCAGCAGGTCCCAGCAGTGATAGATACGGCTCCCGAAGGCCTGGCAGAACAGCCCGCATCCTCTCCTGCAACAAAATGGTATCTTAATTCCCAGCTGACAGGCTTGGAGGAGGTCCCAGCTCAGCAGAAAGGGAGCAGGACAGGGAGTAGTGCCTAGTAGTCCCTAGAAAGGAGAGGCTCTAGGGTGGCTCTGCCTATATGAAGGGGGATTTTCCCCAGCAGCGCTTGGGAAGTATTGCACGATGGCCCTAGTAGATCTGGGGGGAGGAGGATTTGCTGGGCAAAGCCGCCCCACGGCACCTCTCCCGCAGTGAGCTGCATCAGGACAGCCTCACCAGCACGCGTTGTCCTTGGCTGGACAGTACCAGGTCATTGCAGACCTGGAAGTCAAATACACGTCCTGATTTATTTGTAATTGCCCTCCCAGGACCTTACCCATAAGAAATAAAGCACAAAGAGCCCAAAAGTGTGCCGGCAGTGGTGTGATGGGCAGGGCTGCATGTGCCACGCACACACTATCTCAGAGGAAAGAGGACACCTCCAACTTGCTGCTTAAATCTGGCCGAGGCGTCCTGCGCACGCGGCAATAAAAGCAGCTGCTGTGCTGGGGGGGTTACAGGAGGCCAGGGGCATGCCAGGCCGTGCTCCTGGCATGGACAAAATGTTTTATACCGGCCGTGATCAGCTGCCAACTGTGGTGGATGAACCCGAGCCGTGTTTGAAGCGAGTTGGATCCCAAATTCAGAGGGTGGAGTGGGAGCAGAGGCCAGCTGCGCGGTGCATCTGTGATCCAGCTCGTCTCCGGGAGGATGCCTTTTTCTTCATTTCCCTTTGCTTTTGCAGAAACCGTGGCTTAAAATAGTCTCGGCAGTATAAGCTGATCTCAAACCAGCCAGGGAGTATCGATTGCAAAGGGGAGGAAGGGCTTGAGTTTGTGTGGCACTCCAGACCCATCCTGCCTGCAGAAACTAGTGGTCAAGTGGCAAGTCCGTGCTGCAGCCACTATGAAGAGCACGGTGCAGTGTCTTGGTACAGTAAGGAGAGAGGTGATAAAAAATAATAAAAATTTAGTGCTACCAACCTCAGGGGAGGGATTGGCATTTCCAAAGCCACGCTCATCCCCTCTTGAAGCACCGTGCTGTCCTGCTCCTGTCCCTTGCCAGCCAGCAGTGTTCACGCTGCCCCTGTCCCTAGGTGAGTGAGCCAGCACCTGGGTGCTTGCTGCCTGCTCCAGAGACCAATATTACAGCTGTGTAGTCCCTGACATAACTTCTGCCAGCTCCATCCCAACCCCACCGCTCCTGGAGCCTCACCAGCAGGTAGGTGAAGGCACCGGGTGCTCTCAGTGTGCACAGACGCACTGTGTTAGTCCTGTGCTTTCCCCCCCTCACGAGGTATTGATAGGTGAACATCCACATCCCCGCAGCATCTGCTTTCCCGTGCTGTCCAGGCCAGGTGTGTGTCATACAGGTACAAATGCATTCGCTCTGGCTCCTAACTCCATGGCATGCAGCTATCCCTGGCCGGCTCTCGCATAACCTTTTCTGCGTGTTGTGTACAAACCCAGCAGCTCCGTCTCTCCACGTGGTTCATACTGTCGGTAGTTCCCCCCAGCCAGGTTTTAGCTCTGTTTTTATACTCCTCCCATCTCTGTTCTTTTATTTTTGGAGCTGTCCAGGGCATTGCAGCAGGCAGAGTAACGGGCTGGGAGGATCGCTTCTCTTCCCTACACAATCCAACCTCGCGTCCCTACAATGAACTGAAAAACCCACCACTGGAACCTCTCTTTCCTCTCTCCTTTCCCCACCAGCAATGCAAAACCCAACTGGAAGTGCTCTGCAGTGTAGTTCTTGGCTTGGTGTTGAGGCTGGAAGTGTAACTTACAGACTGCGCAAGCTGGTAGTCTTCTGTTTTGAATTAAAGTTTTAGCTTCTGCAGAACAGAGAAGAGAATTAATATACAATTAATTCTCGAGCTGAGTTTGCCAAGCCATAACCAAATATATGTACATTTGTTATTGCCCCATTAATTTAGCAATTACTTTTGGTGGCTCCGTCTGAAAGATACAGCTTGAAATAACCACTTGTTTGCAAGAAGAGCGCTGTGCTGCATAAACGCAGGCTCCTGTTCTGATCCAGGGACTGTCAAGCTGCCCTCCTTGGCTGTGTGAGCATCAGGTGCTTTGCAGCTCCCTGGGCAGAGCTTTTTGGGGAGGTGCAGGGCTGCAGGTGGTGCCTCTCCAGGGGCATGTGGCCCTGCTGAGGATGGCACCATCCATCGGACGGCGCTGCCTCAGGGCTGGAGGCCAGGGCGGTGCCGTTCGCTTGTTTCTGCTTTGCTGGGACCAATCTGCTCTACAAGGCACGAGCTCCGTGTGGAGCAACTAGCAGCTGGCATCTAGGAGCCTGTCAGCAGCACACACACATCTGCTCGTGGAGGTTTTGGAGAGGCTCCGGGAGGGCACAGGGACAGATCTGAACCTGGGGCTTTGTTTCCCCACCACCCGTGTTGGTCGAGAGCTTCCCCAGCTCTCCAGCAGCTCCTGTCTTTGTGAAACCTTCAGTTTGGTGAACATCTTTCAGCTGTATCACACACGGAGATTTGAAGTCCAGGGTGATTATGGAGTCTCTTTAAATTTTCTGTAGCTTTTCCCTTTCGGCTCCCATTGTAGTGGAGGTACCCCACCTCCTGCCGCCCGGGAAGCCTGTCTGATTCATGTGCGTGGCAGCGATAGCAACTCTTGAGAGATAAAAGAAGCCTGACTTAAATTATTCAGAGTAACCCAAGCCCACGTACATGCTCAACATCAGTAATACCTTTTGCTCTTGCTGTCCTGTTCTCGTGGCTGCAGCAAAGCCGCCCTTAGTTACGCAGAGCACCGGGGAGGCGATGCAGGGCAGCATCACCCTTGTCCTTGTCCAAATTCATAACTCAAACGAATGCAACCGTTGAGATTCATCACTGCTCAGGCTTGTTGTTATTTTATTCGCTATAGACTGCTAATTTATTTTTTTCCCAATTGCTTGGTGTCTCGTCACACTCTTCTGCCTCTCCTTGGTGGGTTTTGATGCTGTCAGCTCCTGCATATCTGCAAAGTGCATTTGGTTCAGCCAGCATCCCAGCATTGCTGGGACAGGTATGACAAAAACACCAGTGGTAAAAGGAAAATGGTATTAAAAATAAAACAGTGCAAACCTTCTTAATTAGGTGGTGTTTCTTTTAGAAGCAGATCTGCCCTCTAGGCAAGTGAAAGCAATTATGCCTTCCCTTTCAACCACCTTATGCTGCTAATGATCTTACTCTTGTAAATGTAAACCTCTCCCCTAGCTATGTGCTGGGAAGTGCTGGCCTCATTGAAGCTGGACGAAATCAACCAAGGAGGTAAAGCTAAGCTAACTAACAACAAAAGACTAGTTGCAAACACTTTTAAATTCTAAATGGATTTATTAGGTTATAAAGCAAATGAATACTTATCTTCCAACCACAGAAAGAGGTTATCTGCATTTGGCATCAGTGGTGACTGTAATGAGTTTTCAAGTCTAATCTTAACCCTAATTTGGGGCTGGAGTAAACTCCGCCTCTTCACACCTTTCCCTGATGAACTCTGCTCAGGTGTCTTTAAGGTTTATTTCTTCTCCTCATTCTCCACCCACCCTCTGAGATCTTCTCCATGGAGGCTGAAGTCAAGAGAGACTCAGACAAGGTATGTGTAGGTACAGACATATATAATTGTTTTATAGTGGGATGCTGTAAGTGAAAGCATTCTGTGCTTTCCTTTGAGTGATATGTTTCCATTTTCCTCAGCATTTAGGAAATGAATTGCCAATTTTTCCTTTAGTTCTCCCTCCCTCCCATCCCATTTTACTATGGAACAAAATGAAATTTAACCAACTGACTGTCAGAGAGCTGAATAATCTTGCATTGTAACACACCAACTCAGAGTCCTGGATCAATGGGCTTGAATTGCCGCTAAAAGCTATATGAAAGGGAAAGCAAAGTCTTTTGCTGTAAGCTGTGTCAAGAGGTGGAGGAGCAGAGGGATGGATGGAGGCTTAGCCAACAGTTTTTGTACTAAACCAGATCAATTTTAAAGGTTTCCTCTGTAGATGCCTGCCGGAGGGCTTTTATGGTTCAGAAATGTCAGCACAATTGTGCAGATTGCAGCATTTAGTGGCATTAGCACTCCCACCCCAACCCCGATATGAGCACCAGGCCACCTAATTGCAGAGCCACGTGTGTCGCGCAGCATCCTGCATGGGTAAGGTGTGGGTGGAGGGAGAAGCAGCCTTCCTGATCGCCCAGCCGGGGCATTTCGGGTGTTCCCAAGGTCGTGTCCTCGCAGTAGCTGCTCCGTTGTGCTGGGCTGGTTTGGGGAATTGGGGGGCTGGAGCTTCCAGGGGTGGCGGTGGCTCTGCCTGCTGAACCACGGGGTATGAGGTGATGTGCTTCTGAGATGAGACGTCCCTGGTGGCAAACGTCATCACAGAGGGGTTGAATTGGGAGGTTTTGGTTAACACACTGAGGATCTAGCGCGAGGCAGTAGTTGTGCAGGTGGCTAAGCACAACCATCCCCGTTGCCTTCTCCTGCTTGGGTTTGAAGTTTAGTAGGAGGCTGGTAGTGCCTGCGTGCTGTATTGGCTACCAGGTTCCTTTTCCCCCTTTTGCGGTGATTAGTGCTGCCAGAGAGGAACAGTGAAGTGCTTTGAGGTACTGTGAGAACATAATAAACGGGAAAATGTCAAAAGGAGGGTGGAAATATCATGCTGATTTTGAAACACCTGCACTGTTTAGTGCAGGGAAAGTAAATGATCGCTTAACGTTGCTCAGTGGAAGGAGAGGTTATCCCAACAATGCATTTCGTAAAAGAGTTTATGCTCACGCGCTAAGAAGACAACCTTAACAAGCCCAAAACGGAGACAAGAGACCCTTGAAGTAAACGCTGTTCAATTTGAAAAGGATTGCAAGAGGTAACTGAACAATTCAGGAGCTTGAATAGTGGCCAGAGCTCCCTCTGATGTCTGGTGTTTTGGGACTGATTCAGGTCTTAAATGCCACCAAGGGAGCTGTGAAACATGATTTATTGTTTTTATAAGTCTGGGTAATCCGGGTGACCGTGGTATATTGCTCCCTCAAAATGGGAAAGCTTGAGATGTTGGCTACTGCTTGAAACTCCTGCTTTAACACCCACCCCCCCTCTTTTAACCCCTTTTCATACCAGCCTTGCTTACAAGTAGAAAGACCCCTCCTGCCTTGAGTTTGGAAGGGGGCTTTTGCAAACAGAGTCCTCTCCAGAAGGGACCAACGGGCAGGGGAGAGCAGAGGGATGGCAAGGCACACATCCTGTGTTTGCTATAAATCAGAAGCCGCAACCCCGTGTGATACATACCTCAGGAATAATAATGGCAGTTCATCCTTCAAAAACACCGTGCAGAGTGAAGGGCCGAGAAAGGAAAATCTATAATGAGTATCAGGGAATTAATAGCTGTCTCTGCAAAACTGTAGAATAACCTCTTCAGGAAGCAGACGATGTTGCTGGATTCCTTTCAAGCCCACGGAGTGATCAACTAGAAAATGTGTCTGCTGCGAGGAACAGCCTGCCTTTGATAAGGGTGTGGGAAACATGACCTAATAGGCCTTAGATTGCTCTCACTTTTAAAATAACATTTTTTAACTTCTCTGGAGACAGGGGAGTTTTTAGGTAAAAGAAGGAAGGGTATTCTCCAGGTGTGTTGCCTTCCCACTCCCCTTGCCAGTGAGCTCAGGGCGAAGTGCATGTGCTTCTGGGACAGCTGGGCTCTGCGAAAATGTTTATATCTCAGCTGCTGTGCAGCCTCAGGGATCTGCAAGTGATTGGGAAAAGGCTCTTGTAGTTAGAAGTATAGAAGGCGATTAAGGAAAAATTTCAACACCTGTAGCCCCTTGTCCTCCTTTTATTTCTGTCCCTTTCATGAGATACTCCGGTAGAGAAGTGCCTTACCTGAAAAAGGGAAGCCTATTGCAAACAGCTACTGCAGCCATCTCCACACAAGGACGGTGCAGCAAGGGATGGGACGAATTGCAGTGCTCAGTAACTGACAGAGATGTGCGAGCAGAAAGAAATACGAAGAAAATATTAGCAAATATTTGTGCTGCCTTTAAACCAACAGAGAACAGCGACAGCCACGCGGCTTAAACCCGGAACGTTTTGCTGGGCTTTGTTGCCGTTGCGGTTATCTGCCTGCTGGCTGATATCCTCCTGCCTGCCCATTGCCTGAACATGCAGATATTTGTAATTGAGGCCAGGTGAGGTCTGTCCACTTAGCAAACGGCAAGCCGTCCCCAGCCGTGCCGTCGATGAGCTCCGGTGCTCGGCGTCGGCGTGGCCGGAGGTTCTGGAGGCGATGCCCGGTAATGACGGCGGATGCTGAAACACGCTCCCTTGTCAGCTAATCAGTTCAGTGCCAAAGCAATCATTTGATCTCAGCAGAACAGCTGGTTTTAAACTACAGATTATCCACCACTTCATCTCCTCACTTAGCTGCGGAGCTGATTTGTTTCGGCTATAGATCAATTACACCCCAAAAACAACACTCAGCTCGCTCGTAGCATGTGAAATGAAGACAAAACCGATGGAGGCACTAACGATAGATCTTCCATTACGGATCCTCCATCCAGGCGCATAAATATCCATCACCGGGGAGCAAGTGCTCGTTCATTCCTCCAGCCAGTCATGCTCATTTCATTAGGATACAATGAATTATTTTAACAGAACAATGCATATATAAGAATAAAATGTGGCTAAAAGGACATTTATTTCTTGCGCTGCCTATAAGTGTCCCTGGTTGGGTGACACCAAAATCACTCAAACTGATCAAATGCAGAATCAAATACGTATGGTTAGAGCCTGTTGGGAGGCAATGTTGATCATGTTTGAGGCAATTCAGTCCTACCAAAGAAAGTGTTTTCATGATGTTTGTTTTTTTTTTTTCTTGGCACTGTTACGACCTTTTAATCAAAAATATCTTCCCCCAGCCCCCAAAGAGAAAGAACACCTTGGGAAGCTCTTTGGGAGTTTGGGAAGGTGTGATGGAAGGCTGGTGGTAGCGAAGCACAAGCTCTGCTCTGCTCCTCTTTGCAGCAGGCATTTCCTTCAGGGTCAGGGAAGGGAGGATCTTAGTTGGCAGTCGTGCAGTCCTAATTAAGAAGAAAAAAATCATCCTTTCTGAAGAGTTAGTCTAATTTTTTTCATCCTCCAACCCCTTGGTCTTGATCCCCTCACCTTGCAGATCTATCCGTCTGGCACATGCCCGGCCTAGGCTGATGAAATGACAAATTCCCGAAATGTTGAAATAACGTATTGCTACAGGTGTCCCTAATAGGCAAGCTGGTGTTTCTTGGGCAGAGAAGGCCTGGCAGACTTAAATCCACACCCACATCAATACGTTTGCACCCCCCGTGGCAGCCCTGCCTCAGGATCAGTTCAGCTTGTGTCGGTGTGTGTTGGCAAGGCAGTGTAGGGCTGAAGAGAGCTGACTGCAGGTATTCAAAATGCAGATTTCAGGTGAATTAATAAATAAAAAGGTGTTTTGCTTTGGCTTGTAATACCAAAATGTGGAGTTTCCCAATCGCTCTCTGTTTAATAGAAGAGGTAACCACTGTCTGTCCCCTAACAGGTTGTGGTAATACAGCACATCATGTGCTGATATATGCATGAAAAAGTTTTCCAGGCTTTCAGCCCCAATGAAAAAATAAGGTTATGTCAATGGATTTCCTTATACATGCTGTACACTGAGAGCATCAGAACCGGGCACCTGCAGGTCATCTGCACTCTTGTACGCGTGCTCTCGCTTCTGGAGCAAGGTTCCCCTTCCTGCCCAACGGGACTGGCTCCTTATGCCTGTCCTTTCCTCCGCTGTTCCTGAGATTGGATGAAATGCTTATTCAGCTTCAACGGCAGTGCTCTTTTTATGTCTCATTTACCTCGGTGTTATGTATTCAGTAGGCAGAGGTTTAATGAATGTAGTTCCTGGCCTTTCTGCGCGCTCGGTTCTGCGTACTTGTGATAACCTTTTCCTTTATCAGCTTCTTGTGGAAGCAGCGTGTGAGGACACCGAGGGGTGCTATAGGAACAAGGTGTTCACACTGCCCTGAGAGCTGGCCTGTGGGGTCTGACTTCAGTCGGGCAATAGAGAGCAGAGGGCTCAAGGCAGGAGTTCAGGACACATCCTACTAGGGAGTACAACCAGCCTCTGTAAATTAAATATATATATATATACATGTATAAATCCCTCTCCGTCGCACTGTTTTGCACTGGTATGATGTTCTTAACACAATTTCTTGGTTTTGTTAGATGACCATCATGGCAGTGAGCCCCCTGATTTGTTCAGCAGAGATCCAGCAGGATCAGTGGCTTTCACATGCATGCTAGGGAGATGTAAAACCACCCTCGGGTAGATTGGTTTTCTGAAGAGGGATTTCTCAGGTGGCATTTGAAGCAACCTGCACTGAGAGTTTTTCTCTCTGTCTTTAGGCAGAGTGATGGGAGAGGGGAGTGTTTTAAGGGTGGTTTCTGTGGCCCCATTTCGGGAGGTGCTGAGCAGCTGTTTACAGGAGACCTCGTGGTGCTGCTCAGTCCTGGGGCTCACGTCCTCCCCTTGATCAGCCTGACAATGTGCATGTGGAAGGACCAGCACTG